TAGCATTCATATGTTTTTCGTGAATTCATTCATGAAGTTCATTCATTTGTGTATTTTTCAAAGGACATTACCATATAGGCATCAATACAGTCTAATGACAAATTCAAGAGAGATGAAAACAGTTTACATGGAGAAGCTAAGCGACTGCCAAAGGCCCAGAGGCCAGCCCCAGAGTCCACGGCAGGTACACTCATTACCAACATGAGCATCCACAGCCTCTGCCATCATTAGCACCTACCACAACCACCCACGTCATCAAGACTTCAAACTAACTGTGGCTTTGGAGAGTCCTGCAGCTCCTTCCTCTGATACAATTCACCTGGAGCTGACACCCTGTACAGTAGGGAACGAGGATCATAAACAGCAGATTTGACACATCAGCAGGGCCCAATATCTGGGAGTGAGGATTATGGATAATTTCTATTTGGAAACTTTTTTTAGTGTTTATCTTTTTTTGGAGACACTGGGGTTTGAACTCAGGACTTCATGCTTACTGGGCAGGCTTTCTACAGATTAAGCCACACCTCCAGTCCTTTTTGCTCTAGTTGTTTTAGAGAGTCTCGCTTTTTACTCAGGCCGATCTGGACCACAATCTTGCTATTCTATGCTTCTAGTCATCACCGGGATGACAGATGTACACTATTATGCACAGCTTTTTTATGTTCAGATAAGGTCTTGGGAATTTTTTTGCTTGGGTTGGCCTAGAACCACATACAATCCTCCCATCTCAGCCTCCCACATAGCTTGGACTAACAGGTGGAAGCCACTGTGCTCAACTACTGCTTGAGATAGGAGTCTTGCAAACTTTTTGCTCAGGCTGGCCTCAAATCACAATCCTCCAATCTCAACCTCCAAAACTGTGAGCATATATATTTGGCTTATCATTTTACTTTTTGATCCTAAAACCATATTACTTTTGTAAACAAATGAAAGATGAAACTACTTCCATTTTTTTCAAATGATGTATGCTTAATTTAGACTAGAAGATTTTAGTAAAATATAGGCTCCTGTGAGTACAGAATAAAACCGAATAAAAAACAAAGGAGAAACTCAAAGACAAAAGGGATGAGAAGTTTTAAGTCTTCAGAGAATAAATGTACCAAAAGTTGAAAAGATGCAACATATGAATAAATTTAATTCACACGAATAAATTTTAAGAGCAAATTAAGTCCTTGTTTCATGCAGTCAAGTTAGCAATAAAATAGCAAAAGTAAGTCTGGGACTGTGGTTTGGTGTGCAATGCCCACTAGTATAAACACAAATCAGGGTGAAAACCGAAGCAGTGTTGATCCCACAATTCAATGCCCAGAATAGCTTAGAGAACAAGTCTGTGCCTTCACAAAGTAAACAGCCACAAATACAAGGACTTCTTCAAAAGACAGAAGGAGGTGCTCCATGTATTCTCTTATAAATCTCAGGGGGAGGGGAGCAAGGGGGCTATAGGAACAAATCACTGACAATTCCAGAAGGTGCTTTCTTCACCTGTTAATATTTATCAACCTCTCCCCACTTAAGGACTTCTAAAAAGCTAGTCATGTTTCAAAAGGCTCTTCAATGTCAAGAGGAGGCTCACTCCTGCAATCCCAGGTATTTAGGAGGTAGAGATCAAGAGGATCAAGGTTCAAGATGAGCCCAGGAAAAAAGTTAGCAAGACCCCATTCCAACCAACATGCTGGGTGTGGCTGGTACACATTTGTCACCCCAACCATGTGGAGTTCTAAATATGAGGACTGCCGTCCAGGCTGGCTCAGGGCAAAAAAAAAAAAGGAACCCATATAGTCCATGCCACCAAATGAAAATTTTAAGTTTGTAAGCACCAAGTCAAATTATAAGGTAAAAGATTTTAAATGTTTTAATGGTAATAAATAAGAGCAAAAACTGGTATCTTTACTTACAAGTGCTTGTTGTTTATTTGCTATTATCTGTTTACTAACATTGCTTTGAATGAGTTCAGACCCTACCTGAAAAAATAATTAAAGCAAAAAAGGCTGGAACATGGCTCAAAGTAGTAGAGTGCTTGCCTACCTGACACATAAAAGGGGCTAAAAACGTTTTGTGAATTAAAGGAGACTGAAGGAGAACCTATTTCTGAAATTTTTCATGTTTACTAAATAAGTAAGAATACTGATAATGAGTCACTTAAGGAAAAAAACACATTCAATTTAGGTCTTACAATACTTCAAAATATCACCTCATTATTTTGTAATCTGTGATCTAAGAACTATTACTTCACCTGGACTACACAGAAGAGTTGCTGGAAACAGGCATGGTAGATCCACAATGGTGAGGAAAGGGAAAATAAAGAGGCTTGGCATTTGCCTAGTTCTTAGGAGGAAACTTCTTAAGAGCCACAGAACAATCTTTCTGTGAGTACAGCTTTTTAAATAAATATCAATCATTAAAAGCAAAGCCCCTGGCCTACAGCTGGTTAACACAGCATGTACAGCCAGTCACACTTGGATTTCACTTTCTACATCTTCAGAGGATAACTCTACACATCCCTTCTCCATGCCTTCAATCACTCTCTAAACCTCCTTAGGCAGCTTGCAAAGACAAGAGTTTAATGCTTCCAGTGAGTATTTTAAGCAAATGAATTTGACTTCTCACAGTATCTTTGGTTTTCTTTCTCATGGTTTTTCCCCTTTTTAAAGGCATACTTAAGGTTCCTGGAAAAAAAAAAAATACCCCTAAAAAGAAAAAAAAAAAAAAGGAGATGGTGGAGTGGTTAAGGTTTTGTATAAAGCCATAGCTTTAAATAAAATTTGAATCAAAATGAAAAGGAAGAGAAAGAAAAAGGAAAAAAGAAGGTTTTGGAGCTGACAGAGCACAATGAAATTTTAATCTTAAAGTAACTGAAGAATTAATCTCTCAAATCTCAGTTTCCTCATGTATGAAATAAGAATAATAATAGAACCTATTGTTTAATTATGGAGGCTACATACAACAATACATGGAAATGACTCAATAAAATGTAGCCATTATTATGCTCAGCCTCAAACACAGTCAGCACAACATTGCCCAGGTGTGAATCCCTGCCCTGCCACTTCCTGGCTATTCTGGAAGATCACTCAACCTCTTCTGGCCTAGTGACCTTGGCATGGAGTTTTCAGAATGATTAAATGTGCAATACATTTAAAGTAATTAGGACAGTGCCTGACATAGAATACGTGCTCAATTAACTACAGAAATCTAGAAGATTCCTACAATCAAATTTCAAAACTTAATGACAAATACTATGAATAAGCAATTCATATAAAGAAAACAAATGGTGATTACAATATGGTCAGCTTCATTATTAAAAGAATGCAAATTTAAAACAATGATTTCACTTTTCATCTAAGACTTATGTAAAAATCCGAAGAAATATAGTATTAAATGCTAGCAAAAGAGGAGAAAAACATGAGCTCTCAATACATGGCTTAGAGAAATGTAAGCTGGCACATTTTTGAAAGGTGATTTGGCACTGTCCATAAAAAGTGTAAAAGAAAACAAGTGTGTTTGTCTGACTCAACAGTTCCAGCTTTAGAGCTATGTCCAAAAGAATTAGTCATCAGAGTAGGTAAGCACATTTTACAGGCACTGGAAACACTCCACATGCCCATCAAAGAGCACTGATTAACACTAACACCAACACAATGCAACAGTCACTAAAAAGAATACTGAAGCCAGGCTCTGTGGCTCATGCCTGTAATCCTAGCTACTGAGCAGGCAGAGATCAGGAGGATCATGGTTCCAAGCAAACCTGGGCAAATGGCTTGTGAGACCCTATCTTAAAAAAAACCCACCACAAAAAAGAGTTGATGGAGTGGCTCAAGATGTAGGCCCTGAGTTCAAGCCTCAGTATCACAAAAAAATAATAATAATGAAGATCTATTTGTTTTTTGGCAATACTGGGGTTTGAACTACTATTATTTGAATAGCATTCTTTTTGTTTGTTGTTTTAAGACAGGGCCTCACTATGCAGCTCACGCTTATCTGAAACTTGCAATGCTCTGCCTAATCCTGCCAAGCTTGAGTAGCATTCATTTTTTGGCAGTACTGAGGTTTAAACTCCAGACCTCACAATTGTCTACCACTTGCTCTACCACTTGAACCATGCCCTAGTGCTTTCTTTTGCCTTAGTTATTTTTTTGGATAAAACCTCACATTTTTGACAGACCAGCCTGGACCTCAATCCTTCTACATAGCCTTCCACATAGCTGAGATTACAAGCACACATAAGTACACCCAACTTATTGGTTGAGATGGGGTCTTCCTAATGTTTTTGCCCAGGCTAGCCTTGAACCACAATCCTCCCAATCTCTGCCTCCTTGGTACCTAGGATTTCAGGTGTAAGTGTGCAGAGCTTGGGTAGCATTCTTAAGAGACATTACACCAGCCAAGCCATCTCTCAGGAGCCCATCTAAACCCTTCTGTGTAACACCTATCAACCTAAAATTTAGATTCTAGGGCAGCTCCCCTCCTGTTCTCAGCTTCCTACTCTGTTCTAGAAAAGTTATTGTCTCATGACAACAAAAGTCTTAATTTTCTAATAATATAGCTTTACTGTTTAAAATAATCCTAAATCTTTGTACTTGTGCTTTGGAAATACACTGCTCGTCAGTAGACCCAGCATCTGAACTACAATTACACACTACAACATGGGGCTTCCTAGGAAAAACTCCTGCAATAACAGTCTCTTGGCAAGCACTGCAGCAAAGGGACTTCCTCCCCGAGTGCAACCAGTGCACATTTCCTTACCAGCATTCTATCACTCATATACTCCATCTATTTATATGGCTTCCTCCCATCTGCCCACAGCCCCAGACCATGAAGACAAATTAGTGACATTTTTACTCTATGTTCACCAAGACTCTATAGTTTCTTCATAACTAAACAAGAGGACAAGTAATTTTTCCCACATTCTAAAAATTCAAGTATACAGCACAGAAGAAAATGCTACGCACACCACTGCCGCCACCACCACCAGCAACAATAACGAGAAACCACAAAGCACTTACACGGAATGCTGCAAGAATGATTCTTGTAACTTTCTCCTTGACAGATTCTTGAAGGATATCAGACAGAACAGGAATGATATTATAGCGCCGCAGGTGCTCACACATTTGAGGGCTGAATGCAAGGAGCCATATTGAGAAAATCATTTGATATTGGAGTTGAAAGCCACACTTGTTACTCAAAACTCCCATGATGCTGAAAAGGAAGGCACATTTAGAAAACATTTAATGTTTTAATGAAGGCACGACAACAACAGAAGGATTGGTTCTTGTTCATGTCTTTGTCACTAATGGAACAAGTCTCTCTGAACTATGTCCTCAGTTTCTTTCCTACCAGCAACAGCAGTCAGCTAGACTGCTCCTCACAAAGGGCCATTTCCAGCATGGCTCCACGTAACCTTCAATCCCAAGGTCATGGAACCTCAGTAAACAGGAGGACTTGCTGCAGGAAAGGAAAAAAAAAAAGGAAACCAAGACTTGACTTGCAGAGGGCAGAGGAAATGGCAAGTAGACTATGACAATTAGAGAGCTTAAATCAACAGGAGTGGTGACAAAACTGAATGCATGCCTTCAAGTCAAATCTTTTTCTAATTCATAATATTGTGGTTTACTCCCTAAAAAAAAACAAAACAAAAAAAAAAAAAACCAAAGGATTTTTAAAAGCATTTAATTTATGAATATTTCAAAAATTTAGGTTGGAGAAATAGTGTTATTTTCCAAATAATATACAATTTAAGGAACAAATGCCCATATGAGCAATTTTATTTCCTTAAGGCTAACTAGCATGTTGATGTTGGAGAAAGAAACGCATTTTGATCTATTTCCTGTGGTTGTCCACTTGAGCAAGATAAGAAGATGAAGAAAAAAGATGAATTTTCACCTCAAGTCAAATTTTGTATCAGGATTTTTGAGCCTGGGCAAGAAGACAGCTTTAAAATATTTAAGGAAACAGATGATGTTGTAGAAAATAAATGTAAGTCTGAATGTGATACAGCTAATCACAGAATTTGGGGGTCAGAAAAAAAGTTTGAGAAGCTTCTAGCTTGAACCCTTACTTGACTGATAGGAAATTGGGAAAGCTCCATGGAAATGTGAGAGGCTTTCCCAAAGGAGATAACACATAAAAGAAGAGAGCTAAGGAAATTTCCCTGGGGAATGCCTAGACAATGAAAAGCAGAAACATCAAATAAGACCATTAAAAATGACCAGTGGAGTTAAGAAGAGTCAAAACCCACAGATTGTCCAACACAGTGACCCCCTAATTAGTACTAGCTCAGGTCCCCCTATGGACCTGAACTAGTACTAACGTATCAATATTGATTCATCAATGGAACAAATATGTTACACTAATGCAAGATATTAATAGGGGAATCTTTAGTGGTGAGGGAGAGAACATATATGGGAACTCTGCACTTTCACTTTTTCTGTAAACATAAAGCTGTTTATTAGTAAAAAAAAAGTTTTTAGAACTCTAACGTTACAATCTAAACTTACTATTAACTTACTGGGAGATTTGTATCAGTGTCAATTCTTCATTTTTTTGATTTATATACAATTGAACTTATTGAATTGTCCTTAATTTTCTCAGCAGACTCTCCCAGAGTCTCCTCCAATTCAGGTTGTTATGTAAAATTTGCCTCTATCTGATACTGCTGTCAGTACCTAAACTGCTGCACAATCATGTAATTTTATACTAGCAACATTCTAGTACTTTGTTACCCTCACTTTCTGTTCCAGTTAAACTAAGCCTTCTCCACTTTGCTTTCTGATGCTGTGGCCGAGTCCATGGGAAACACATCTCTGCTGTACTAGTGGGTTCCCTGTTAATCTCTGAAATGGGTAGATAGAGGCTGGCTGCAATGGTAGAGGATGAAAGGACTTTCTCCTGCTGGCACTATGTTCTGGAGAGCATCCATCCTACACATGGATTCCTTCAGACTCAGCCTGTGTCTTTGTGTCTTGTGGTCCAGCTATGTCTCCTTAACACATTTCTATAACAAATCTTAGCTGCATCACTATCTGTTAACTCTCCTGAGTCTTCTAATGACTCTATAGACAGTGTGAACATAGCTGAGAATTCAGAATTTATTTTCACCCATAATGACAATTGACAAAGGAAGGCATTTCACAACTACTAGATTAGTAGTTGACTAGATTAGTCAGAAGATGAAAGCAAAGAGAGAAATAGCATTCTATTCTCTAACAATAAGGGTGAAATTGGCAATATATGTGAAATTTTAAACTTTGAGTCTTCAGATGACTATATAATAAATGAATTTCCTCAAGAGACATAAAGGAAATAGAGGGCCAGGTATGTAATTCCAGTTCTCCAGGAGACAAGAGATTGGGAGGATAGTTGATTCCAGGCCAGCCTGAGCAAAAAATTTAGCAAGACCCCATCTCAACCAACAAGCTGAATAAATAAGCTGGTGGCATGTGCCTGTCATTCTATCCCTGAGTTTTTAAAAAAAAAAAGGAAATAAATGCAGTGTCTTCATCCACTTGACATTCAACATGAACCATTTCAAGACAATATTATGCAACAAGAACCTGGACCATTTTGTTGAAAGACACTGTATGATTTTCTTTCATCTTTAATAATATTGTGCATCAAAATATACTTATTATAATAAGGTTTGCTATGTTTAAATTCTTACTAAAAATCTTTGATCTTTTTCACTTTTTTTTTTATTTTTTAGTTCTGTTAATTTTTCATAACAGGACTTAAAAAACATATTTTAAAGGCTCTAATGGACCAGATGGCAAATTGTTAGTTATTAGTACTAGAAAATTGAGGGCTAATAATGAGTAAGTTAAAATTCTGCAGATTAATAAAGGAATAATTACTAACTTACTGAGTCAATGAAGATTAAGTAGTCTGTGACAACTTAAAGCTAATCCCTAAAAATAGCCATGTGCAGAAGTAACACATGCTAAGAAACTGTCCCACCTGTTTGCTGGATCCTTTTCACAGGTATTTCCCTACCCTGGTGACATAATGTAAGAGTCTGAAAGTCTGATGATGACTCATTCAATCAATTTTTGCTCTAAATCCTCACTCATCGAGCAATCTACTGTTAATAAGATAGTTTGCTGCATAGATTTTCCAAGAGAAACAATATTCTCACTAACTGGAAAGACCATCTGGTTTAAAAGTACTTAGATTTCTCATTATGAAATAAATTGGCTTTCCAGTGTTACGACAGAATTTCCAACATTCGTTTTAGGGTTTTTTAGGTCATTTGCTTGTATAAGTTTGCTAAAACCAAGTAAGCAGCTCTTCAAAGTTTCTCTACCTGCCAATTAGGATCCCACGAAGAATGGACTCAATTGTACAGCATTTGTACTCGCTTTTTTCCTAGTAAGACCTTTCCTTATTGACTTCTGCCTACATTCCCCACAAAATACTTTTATAATTAGTTTGTGTTCTAAGTATCTGGGATTTGTTCTGCCCAGCATTAGATTCTCGGGAGGCTTTAAATTCTTATAAAAGCACAGCAAAAGCAAGGGATAGGGAAACCTTCAGTTTGATAGTCATTGACTTCTAAGCTTAGCATAATCCACTGTTAAACAGACATGAAAAAAATAAAACTTCTTTTATATGATTAAATGTACTAATATCTTTGAAAATGTCAAGGAAAAATGCTCTGAATGCTATTCTCCATTAAGAGTAAAGGGCACTCACCAGTTCACCCCATCTGCTTCCACCCAGGCAAAACGGTACTCATTGACACGAAGCATCAGCTGCAGACACCCAGCAACACACTGCACATACTGAGAACTCTACACAAGAAGAAGGATGAAGTTTGAAACTGAACAATATTTTAAGTCATGAGATCATACACACATACTTCTATACAAGAAGTACAGCTTTCTTACTAAAATCTGTTAGCATCAGAGCACCCAAAATTTCCTAGTATCTTTTCATAGTCAATCCTCAAGTTTGCTTTTTCTTCTCTACCTCTTAAAATGAAGATGATTTTGTCTCCCAAATTAAATCTACAGAATTCAAGACTGCTTAACACATTTAGAAAAATCAAGGAGCAAAGTAATTGTATCTTTGATATAGCTTGACAAGAAAACATATTGCCTTACCATATTCATGTACCCCTGAATAAAGGCACTACAGAGAATACCACAAAATATTAATGAATTAATTATTAATATAAAAATATTAATGAACCCTGATAAAAATGACAAAAAAGAGTGGATGCTCTGAGACAAGCCCACAATTGAATGACTTTAGGCAAGTTACTGACCCTCTCCAAACAGCACTCAGATTCTTCAGGAACAACGCCTGAGGGTGCTGTTAGGTTTAGGGAAATAATTCATTTAGCCCACCATTAGACACATTGTAGGGACTCAATAAATGGAAACTTCAAGAAAACTATGGGTGGCATATTAAAAAGCCTCAATTAAACACTTGAAAAAATAGTGCTTGATTTTTAAACTGCCAATTCATTAGCAGTGTCTCAAAGAAATGTGTTTAAATCTGAAACTTGAAGTAAATAGGAATCATACTCCCTCAGAAGTTGTAAGCCCCTCCATTTTACCAAAACTAGTGGAAACATATGGCCTGGGTTCTTTTCTAAATATTTAAAATGAGCCTTACATCTTTAAGAAATAGAAAAACAAAAAGAAATTTTAGCTTTCATAAGAACAAAAAATTTTTAAAGGGAAGAACCATAGATGTTATAAACTACACAAGATCTAATATATGTGATACTACTAAGCTTTATGTTTTATTTAAACAACATCAGTAGATACCTAACACCTCAAAAAAAATTCTGGACACTCAAATACAAAAATACGATGATGTATAAGTACACTTGGTAGAAACAGACAAATGCTGTAAAGGTTATCTTATGTTCAACTTAGAAAATAGTGAACATTGTTCATACAATCTATCCACCAATATAGCTTGCCTGAAATCTCAAAACATTAGCAGAAACTAATCACAAAAAATAGTGAATTTTCAACTCTGAAACAATCTTCCATGATGAAAATAAAAATGCACTTTTCTAATTAAGTCGGCAAGTAGAAACTTCTACTGAAGAGGAGGAATTCCATCTTTCTTATTCACAGAGGGAATGTGACTAAGATTTCTAGACATAAATAAATAAAAAGGCAACAGAGAACACTGTCTTGTATGTATAATCACTGTTCTCTCAAAGCAAAAATTTCTTGGTTCATTTTAAGTTTTTTCCATGCTATGCTGAAATACACAGCACAACGGAAGTATGAGTTTTTCATTGTCAGTTACAGCTTTAATCTTCACAATACAAGTAAGCAGAGATAAGGGGCTGTTCTCAAAGCTGATGGGCCTCTCTCCAATTGTGCACTATAAGGCAGTTCACACCATTCCATAAGTTACTCTCAAAGTACACAGTGACAAAAGACAGCACAATTAAATGACTGAACTCTTACCTTCAATTAAATCAGTTCCTTGTCTTTCCCTTAAGTTGTCTTATTAGTTTTTTGTATACATTTAATGATTTTTTTTAAGAAGACAACTGGCCTTGGATCAATCCAACCAGTCCCCACCTCTAATCCTTCAGAAGGGAAATTCAATATTGCTAGAGAAAATCACACATCAATCAAAGCCACAGGCATTCTGGTCTGTTCTCCCTGTCACTCCACAGAGGTGTTCTCACACATTCACCACTCTCCTACCCTATTTCCTCCCCTTAGTATCAGCAGGGAGGAGAAAAAAAGGCCATTCATTGGAGATTCACTGTGCTACAAACATCTCACCCCAAGCTAATCACATTTCCAGTCATTCTTGCCTGTCCCTCACCTAAGAGAAATAGCTAACCAAGACTCAGAGCTCTAACAGGATCTGGATCCTCCTTCTCCTACATCATGCTCCACCAATTAGGCCACTGTTCTACAGGTTTACCCTCTCCTTCCTTACACTTTCCCAAGACAAACTGAGTAAGCCAGAGTCTGCTCCCTTACATGAGGCCCCTGGTTGTACATGGTCAAAGAAGCCGGTGCTTCTCTCTCATAGGCAGTGCAACAAGTTTACTGAAATAACTGACTGGGTAATTCCTTTTTAATGCCATCATCCTCAGACACAATATGCCCCCTCTGAAGACAAAAATCACATCCATCTTGTCTAGATCATGCACTGCACCTAGGAGGCACTAAACAAATGTTTCTTGAATAAATAAACAAAACAAAATGAAAATAATCTCCATACCACACACTAATTCCAAATGAACAGTGCCCTAACAGATATATTAATGGTCTTAAAAGTCTAAAAATTTTATCAGAATGTCTACACCAAAAATAATTAATACTTCAAGGGAACATATACAATAAAATGTATACAATAGAGCACTGTTATCCCATCTTTTTGGACCAGGACTGAATCTAATTGACCATTAAAATTATTTCCTAGAGCACTGACTTTATAAAATCTATTTGGTTAACTAAAGTCATCTCTATTTGAGAACTAAGAAAAATTGCTCATCAATTTTGAGTTTACTCTATGTCATTTTATTTTATTAGGAAATATTTTTAGTGGTAAGAGCTCATTTAGGAGCTGGGCATGATAGTGTATGCCTATAATCCCACCATTCAAGAGACTGAGGCGGGAAGTTCTCAAGTTTAAGACCACCATGGGCAACACAGTGAAACCCTATATAGAAAGAAGAAAACAAACAAAAACAAAAATAACCTCATTTAGATAGTTTCCACTTAAAACTGCTAAAGTAATTCATTTTTCCTCTAAGTATTACTAACATATGGACTGACTTACCCAAAAATACAAAGGAAAAAAGATGTTTTAGATATTCATTGTATTGCTTCCTGAATACTATTTCTTTTTGTTTTAATGCCATTTACAGTTGGCTCTTTGTTGTAAAGTTCTGTATTTTCTGTCATCAAAATAATTTTTTAGGTGAAGTGGCTGTAGGGGTAGAACACCTGACTAGCAAACATGAGACCCTGAGTTCAAACCCCAGTACTACAAAAATAATTTAACTACCAAAGTGGTGGCAAGAAAGAAAATTAAAAAACCTACTTTTTACAAAGACAACTTATTAACATGTATATATTTTTCAAAGTACTTCAAATAAAAAATTAAATATTAAAATAAAAGGAGAGGTTTGGCTCAATGGGTACAGTACCTGCTTTGCAAGCACAAAGCCTGAGTTCAACCACAATCTCATCAAAAATAATAATAATCATAAATAATAAAAGGGAAAATAAAAACTTCCCATCTTAATGATACCAATAGCTCATTAGTATTACAGCCATTTCTTTAGGTGAGGAATACAAGGCTTAAAAATTTGGTATAATTTATTAGAATTAAAATACTGAATTAAGAAAAAAATGAGAAGCAAAAAAGCATCCCTTGAAGAATCCAACAAGGGAAGATACCCACAGGCTTAAAGAAAAAACTACAGCAAATATTTTGATAACGCCAAGATTTTTTTAAGTGGCAGTAGTATTTGACACCAATTAAACATCTACCATGTACAAAGCTCTTCAAATAAGGAAACATTTTTGTTTAATCTAAGTTTCTAACAACTCTCTTAAGTGGTTATCATTTTGCCTCCTTTGTAGTTAAGGGAACAGAACTTCAATGAGAGGGATAAGTTTTCCAAGTCTACACACTCAGTGGTAAAGGAATCCTAACCTGAGAAGGCCTAACACAGTCCTTTCATTACATTGTGTTACCTCTGAAGGAGTGAGAAATTCTCATTGCTGAGCAATTTCCACTTACTTCTTGAACTGTGTTGCATACGTCATCTCATTTTAATATAATGTCTTATGGTAAAAATTCTCATGCTTCCTACATGTAGAAAAAAATTATATATAGAAATAATTATATGTAGAAATAACAATTTTTCTACAAAGCCCTTCCTTCCCTATGTTTCAAAATTAAGCTGTCCTTTCCTTTTCATCTTTGTAATATTGGTTTAAAAAAACAACAGTTGGCATTGCATATGTCTGTTGTTTTTGTGTGAAAGTTCAAAGTTAGTAATAATATTCATTATTCTTGTTTTAAAAAATTAAAAACAGTAAGCTAGCCTTGGGTTGGTACTGGAAATCAATTCTCTTCAAACTTAAGCTATGGTTCCTCATGGTGCATATGCATCCTGACTGAGAACTCACTGCACTCACACTCTCTATGCGACAACCCTCAGTGATAAAAAATAATAATGATAGTAAATAATATTTTTACTTCTCAACACATTTAGGAGAGTATAACTTACTACACTTTCCAATGTTGCTGAAAATGCAAACTCTTATTGTATTACAGTGGAATAAACAAAACTAGTCACCTTCCTGGTGAGTATGTTCTCAAGATTCACTGTCTGCAGAATTACAAAGAAATCCAAGAATTGAGGAATTAAGAAATAAATAATAAACCTTGTATTACAATAAACAAAAAATCAGTGATAATACCAAAGTGAAAATAATGCTTCAAAACTGCTTATATACAATTGTCAATATTCACCTTGATAATGCTACAACTTAAGTGCAAACTAAGTTAAAAAAAGGTAGAGAAAACAATTCATCTAAATTTTGGAATTATCAGCTCTCTGCACAGTAGTACAGAGCATCCATCCCACTGGTACAGCATGGAAATGCCCAGTACACTGGGCAAAGATAAGCTTTGGAGACACGTAATGCAGAAGGCAGATGTGGCAGCAGATGGAGCTCAAGGCCAACCTGGAAGGGAGGGAGGGAGGGAGAGAGGGAGGGAGGACATCAGGTGTTTGTAAGAACTGGAACAAATGGATTTCGAAACTCTGCTCAGGGGCACATAA